TGTGTTCCATGGCATGTAGATGTTGTGTTCCATGGCGTGTAGATGTTGTATTCCATGGCGTGTAGATGTTGTATTCCTTTTGGCTGCACAACATGAGCAGCCCAGAGAGGCTGCAGCCATGAGACCAAGCTCTGTGGTCAGGCTCCCTCAAAGGTTGGATGTTTTGTGCTGTAGAAATAGATTAACCCAAGAGAAGCATTTTTTTCTGAGAAGTGTGTTTAGTGAGGCTCTAAGGTGTCACTAGTGTGTGATGGACAGCACAGTTGCATCTGTCACTTCCACATCCTGTTAGTTGGAATTGTGACAGTGGGAGGTGTAATGTGCTACTTGAGAACAGGTTTTGGTTTAGATTCTCTTTCCTCAACTCTGTGTCATGTGTGGAGCAGTTTTCTCTTTATCAGAAAATACCCGGTTTTCCTCTTAATTTGTGCTCTGTCCACACACAATCTGTTTGGTTTGCTGAGTGCTTTCTGTCCATTTTCATATTCAGATTTGATTTTTTGCTACACTTGACAGAAGACACGTTTCTAGAAAAGATTATTTTTTTAATGGTGTCTGCTAATAGGTAGTGGTTGGCCTTACTTTCCTAATGAGAAAAAAAAAAAAGCTGAGGAAAGATTTAGAGGCTAATTTTCATATTGACTCTAGGTTAGGATAATTATTCCAGTGCTTTCCAAGGAGGCACAGTGAAATGCACACATGTCCCCATGTCCAAAAATGTCAATTTTACAAGCTTTTCTAGCTTGATATGTTCTTCCACCATATCTTCCTGATAAGGAATGCATTTCTGATACCCCTTCAATCACTTCATATTTTGAAAGCAGCTTTTTTAATTCATTCTCTCAGTGAATAGCAGTTGTGTATCTGGAATGAATATTAAGTGCCCTTATTTTGGCACTTTTTTTTGCCAGTGCTTTCTGCAAAATGAGCTTTCACTTCTGCATTTTTTCTTTCAGTGTTAAAAGCACAGATTTGGAAACCCAAGAGTGCTATTGTGTCAGATAACACATGAATTTAAAACTGTTTGCAGCACTGGAGCTACCTGTCAGTTTGTGATTTTGCTTTCTTATTAAGCTGTGCCAGTTATGGTGTGTTGCACCCAAGTCTGTTAAGATTCTCTTAGGTTGAAGTTTCTGCTGTGCCAATTGCTTTGCCAGTGGGTTTTTTTTTTTTTTTTTTTCTTCTTTGCTGTCTGGAAAACCTGTACTCACATTGCCCCTGCATGCACACAGGCACACACACAACAGTTGTAGTTATTGGGAGATTAGAGTTTGATTCTCTGGATTGCTGTAGGTGCCCTTCCCTTTTGATTCTACAAATAGCGTAATGCATTTTAGAGGTGTAATTTAATCACTGAAAGTGGAATTTGTGTAGCCGAGGCAAAGACAGATCAATGAAGGTCTTGTCCTGTCTCCTGAAAGCCTTGTGTTTTCTGGTTCCTGTAAAGAATTTGGCTGTTGGGAGTTGTAGGTGCTGGGTAGGCAGCTCCTCTCTGCTCCCTAGTGTGCCTGGAGCTTGCCAGCCAGGAGCTCAGAGTGGGAAGTGTTCCCAAAGAGAGGCACAAACCATTCTTCCACACCAAGAGCAGTGGGACACTTGGCAAATGAAATCTTGGAGAAGCTTCACAGCCATGGTACCCAGGTCAGCACATGTAGGAAATAAAAGGCTGCATCAGAAGCCTTTGCCTGTTGTTCTTCAGTGATTTCTTGTGTTCTTCAACATCCCACTCCCCTCTGGGGAGCAGAGCTGGTGTCTGCAGGCCTGAGCACTCTTGTTGTAAGCTAATACCCAAATATCAGACCTACCAAGGCTCCTCCTTATGTTGCAGGGCCTTTGCTCTCTGTCTTGAATGTGGATTTATTCTTCTGAGGTAGTAAAGATTAACATGGCAAGGAGTGTGAAATGTCTTACTCCCTTAGTAGTAATATCTAAGTAAATATGAGAGGATTGTTCCACAAGGAAGAGTTTATCTCAGATTAAGGTTTGGTACAAGTTGAAAGCTCAGTTATTCTCCCTGATTAATTCCCTTTGTGAGTGTTGTCATTTCAGAATAAGTGCTCTTATCTGGAGCAACAGTGTTCACATGAGGTTAATTAAGAATAACTTTCCAAGCAGACAAGCTTAGAAGTATAAAACCAGTGTGAAATTTCTAGGTCATAAGGCTTGAAATATGTACAAAAATATTCTGGAAGTAAATGATGCCTCTTTTCAAGTCTGTATGGCTCAGATGTGGCTCCTCTGACTCATGTCAGGTGCAGATATTCCATCTGAGGAAGGCATGTGTGCTGGGCTTTTAGAGGCAAGGAATTTGGAAGCTGGGTGTCCAGCAGAATGGACTTGTCACTTCAATAATATTTCTAGGATCCTATTTTATTGCAGAAGATGCTGCAAGATGAATTGATCAGTCCAGAAGTCTTAAAGTGGGGAAGGATGAAGAGAGTAACTAGAAATTTAAATGTGTGAGGAGAATGGGAGGGAACTGTTACAGAAAGATGTTCCTTGACAGTAGTTCTGGTGCCAAAACAAGATAGAGAGTGCTTCTGACATGGGAGTACTTTGAGTGTTGTGGTAAAGTTGGGGGTTTATTTTACCACTTTATCAGCCTTTTGGAAAAAAAAGGGCTTGTGGAGTTGCCTTTTTTTTAGGTCCATACACATGAATGGGAAATGGAAAAGACCAACCCTTTTTATAAGTGAAGTACAGCAGAGGGATGGGAAGATTGTAGAGAGCAATTTGAAAAGTTGTGCTCCCATAAATAAAATTTAAGATAATATTCTTTGTTTATTATTTTGTTAAAGAAAGATGCATTAGTTCTGACTGGGTTTTGTGGTCACAGGGTTGTGTAACTCTCAAAGACCAGCCTAGGTTACCAGCAGGAATGTAGAAATGGCTGTGGCAGATTGGAAATGATCCTATTTCTGGTGTATTTCCCTGATGAAAGAAGGAATGATGATTCTGACTCCATGTCCTCAGAAGGCTAATTTATTATTTTATGATACTATATTAAAGAATACTATACTATCCTAAAGAATACAGAAAGGATACTTACTGAATGCTAAAAGGATAATAATGAAAACTTGTGACTCTCTGTGGGGTCCCAACACAGCTTGGCCCTGATTGGCCAATGAGTGAAAACAACTCACAGCAGAATCCAATGGAACAATCACCTGTGGGTAAACAATCTCCAAATACATTCCAAAGGAGCAAAACAGAGGAGAAGCAAATGAGATAAGAATTGTTTTCCTTTTTCTCTGAGGCTTCTTAGCTTCCCAGGAGAAAAATCCTGGGTGAAGGGATTTTTCAGAGAATGTGAATATCACAGGAGTTGAGCTGCACCCTGGTGTCCTCTGCTCTACAGTATTCAATTGTCAAATGCTTCAGAGTAGGGTCCTGGTTTTCTTACCTTTTGGCTGAATATAAAGTTTCTTCAAAACATCAAGTGGTCAGTTGGACTGGAGCTGTTAGAGCCTTTAAAATGTCATTTCCTGTCACTGAGAACCATTCTGCCCATCCTGAACTGTGGACACCCTGCTTACCTGTAGACTTGGTTTGTTTTGTGCATGTTTCTCTACTTAGCTGTGTATTTATCTTCTCTGAATGTCAAGCTACATACCTGGGTGCACATACACTCTTTTTTTTCTTATAGCTTTCTGCAGTTAGCTGCCCTTTTATGTTTGTTTTTTTTTTTTTTTTTTTGGTATCACTTTTGGTAAAAACTTTGGTGTGTGTTATCCTCCCAGGGGCTCTGAGCACTTGTTGTCTTTTCCCTTTTCAGATGGCAAGTTTGGTGCCTACATGCAGGTCCACATCCAGAATGATGGTCCTGTAACAATAGAACTGGAGTCCCCAGCAGCCACTGTTGATCCTAAACAAGTAAGTGGCTCCTAAGGTCTGTCTGGAAAGGCTGATGTGTATCCTCTGCAAATTTGTAGCATTCCTGTTGTGAAGCAGTGCAGCTTCCATCAGGTACAAGGACCTTGCCCTTCCTCAGCAGCCTCTGAACAGATAAATAATTGCATTGTTTTCTTCAGTTCCCTGGCCTCTTGAAAGGTTGTGTGTGTGTAATGCAGAACAGCTTTTCACAGTTTATTCCTCCTCCTCATTAAAGCTGTTGTTTAATCATGACTCATTAAAAATGTTTTTAATTAGTCTGGACCACCTCCCTGACTTTAGTGAAGTTTCTTGCTATGTGGGAGCTTTGCTATGTGGATGACTGGGTGGAGGTGCAGAGGTGCCTCTCTGTCAGAGACAAGGGAATAGGGAATTTCAATCCCAAATTTAAGTCTGGAGTGGACAGGAGAGTGAGCTAACTCTGCTGAGGAACAGCACCACACCAGCCTTATTTGTATAATGCTTCACTTAACCTTGGTGAAATTGTTACTGCAGTTTATAAAAAGGGCATGAGGGAAGAATCAGGAAACTACAGGCCTGTTAATCTAACCTCAGTGCCTGGAAAAATTGTGGAGAAGATCATGCTGGGTGCTCCTTAAAGGTGGGGTTAAAGTCAACATGGATTCAAAAGGGAAAGTCCTGTCTGATTTAATGCTCTTCTACAATAAGGTCGCCTGCCAAGTAGAGGAAGGGAAGGTGGTGGATTTAGTTTTTCTAGATTTTAGTAAAGCTTTTGACACTGTCCCTCACATCATCCTCAACAAGTCCTCCAACTATGAATGAGTGGATACAAGTGCCCTGTGTTGCCTTAAGAAGCATGGTTTGAAGTTGGTTTCATTTTCTTCAAATTCTGTTTCTGGATTCTTGTGTCATGTTTTAGCCCTTGAAAAATCTACTTCTGTCTCTAGTCTTTCTTTCTGTTCCCTCACAGTTTTAGAGTTCTCAGGCCAAACCATGCATAATTAGCAGCAGCAGCAGCAGCAGCTCTGTTTTTGAAATGAGAATTGCTGCCCAGTGTGTAGGTGTAAAATAACCAAGGAATTACCAAGGTATGCAGGATTCTGCAAGGTTTCATTTCTTTCTTGGGGAATATTGACTTGTTTAAGGCTGCCTGCTTTACCCATCTGACAGCATCTTCCTGGTGGCCACAACTTGGGCTGAAGGCAGGGAAGGATGCTGGTTTTTAAACTTTCTCTGGCATTGTAAGGCCCAAAACTCCCTTGACAAGCCTCTTAAAAGGGCTTAGTGTTTTTTCATGTTCCTGAGAAATTTCAACAGGATATTATCAAGAAGTCAAACCAACAAAAACTTCACTGGCAACCTTCAGAAAATCAGAGAGCTTCGGCAAAAATTTAGAGCAACATCCAGTTAACACAAAACATTTCACAAAGCATTGGCTTAACCCATTCAGCTTCACAAACTCCAAATCTGTCCAATGTTAAGTTGCTCAAAACTCAGAGGAGAGGGAATTAGAAGAAGAAAGAGACAGAAAAGAATGAATATAGCTCCCACTCCTGGTCCCAGCAGTGTTCAGCTGATAAAAATTCCAAGAGGAGGTAGGGTCAAGACATCCATCCTGCAAAGTGTGATGAGGGAGAGCCAATTTAAATTGTTGTTCTCTTTCCTCTTCCCTGCCCATTGCATTCTTTTCCTGCTGACAAAAATCTGTTGATTTGTTTGTAGCATGGGAAGTAAGGCTTAGGGATGGTGTGGTTTTTATACTTGAGCTTTCAGCTTTAGCAAGAAGAGATAGCTGAACCATCCTGCAGTGTTTAATGTGATGTTAGCAGGAAGAGATTAGACAAATAATTGCTGATGAATAGCTCTTTTATGTCATTGGATGTGACAGTGAAATATCTCATTTTGTCTGAGCAATTGTCTGTGTTTGTAATTGGCAATCAGAACTTTGTAAGTCATTTGCAATGTAATTAGTAAAAATACATTTGGATTAGTCAATCCAAATGTATTTTTTGTATTACTTGTGCTGAGGGATATAAATAAATCACTTCTCTTTTATACTTGGGGTGATCATGTTATCTTATGGTGATAATTCACTGTCTCTTCTAAACTTTTGAAAATCTCAGCCTTCAGGGTTATTTTTCTTTCTTTTTTTTGTTTTGTTGATACATGTATTGATGTTGTGAATCTAAGTTGCAAGTTTTATACAAATGCTCACATTTACAATTTTTTAGAAATGGACTTCTGAAATTGTTTTATTACATGATGTATTTTTTTCCTTACTTTGTGAACAGTTGACAAAACTTGAAAAACAGCAACAAAGGAAAGAGAAGACCAGAACCAAGGTGCCCTCTGAGTCCAGTAGAGAAAGAAATGTCCCCAGAAACAAGGATGACCCCAGTGCCAGCAGTGGAGCAGAAGGAGATGTGTCCTCGGAAAGGGAGCCTTAGCTCATCCAAGGCAGGCCTCAGGTTTGGCTTCTCCTCTCCTCTGGAATGCTTGGCCCCCTGCCTCTTTTACTGAAGCAGCACATGCAGAGAGTGGCATTAGAAGTGCTGGAAGGTGAAATTTTATAATCTTGCTGGTTTTATAAGTTTTACAACCTCTGCCCCATCTGCAGTCACACACCAGAGTGTTGGGGTGGGTGAAAAGCTTTTCCCAGCCTGGCTGGAGTTGTGGGTCTGGCCCAGCTGTGACTGTTTCCATGTTGGCTCAGGAAATCTGAAAGTTTGACCTGATAATACAGCAGTGACTGAACTCAAAATCCTGCCTTGTGTTCTTCAGATACACAGAGACACAGGGTTGTATTTCTGTCTGTCCTCACCTAGCAGGGAGCTCACTCTGGGACAGCCCAAACACAGCACAGTCCCCAGCAATGGAGACGGAAAACAGCTCCAGAACTGCAGAACTGCAGCTTCCTTTCATGGTTCTTACCTGCCCCTGCTCAGTTTTGCTCTTTCCCAGGATGAATTAGTCACAGGCTGTCTCATAGACCTCCACCATCTAATAAGGACATTGGGGCAGGCATTGAGAGCCAAACTTGCCTCAGCAGCAGGAGATCTTCTCTGCCTTCAGGCACTCAACCTCCAGGACATGCCCAGACATCAGTGAATGGAATTAGGCGGAATACAGACCTGAATCCTTTGTCATGGATTATCTGCCTATGTAGATATGTGTTTATCATACTCTTCCAGTCGGCTTTAAGCCTTCAGGACACAGCTTTCATTATCTTCCCTCCCCCTCCCTGCTCCCAGAAAGTTACATTGCTGATTTGGACTTTTCAAACGTGTCCAAGCTCTCAAGAAAGTGTTATTATCCTCATCTGCACACTGAAGCCCTGAGCTGGCTGTGCAGTTTAATTATTAACAGCTTTGCAAAGTTAAAGTTTAACCTTTCTCTCATTTTCCTGTCCCCAGAGTTTAGTCTGCCTGTGATTTATACAAATCAGCATCATTCATTGCTCACAAAGTTCCTTCTTTTTTTTTTCTTTTTTAAATCCATGAATTTCCCAGGTGGTCAGACATTGGGTGATGATTTCTGTTCTCTACAGGGTTTTCCCCCACACTGTTTCTGGGTTGTGTGTTGAAATAAGGACATTTTAGAGGGTTTGCAGTGTTATTGGAAATATTGGGTCAGTCCAGTCTTTCCAATAACATTTGGATTTTTAAGGAGCTGGACATCTCTAAAATGCTGTATACAGATAACCTAGCATTAGTTTTCGTGCTGTGACAATAAGTAAATTTTTTTTTCTCAATGGGATTTGAAGGAATCCTGCAGTATTTCTGCTCTACCTACAATAATGTTCCTGTTTTTTGCCTTCCACAGTTTCTTACACAAAAGCTACACTGAATTCTTGAAGAAAGACCCAACACTGGCCTCAGCAACACTCTTGAACCACTTTGGAGAAGGATGGAAGATGGGAAAGCAGAGCTGAGCCATTAGAAAACCTTTCATTCTGTATTGAACCAACCAAAGCAATGCTATCAGATCCAGTTGTTAATGTGTAGTGTCAGTAGTGAAAAGGACTTGTGACATTTCTGTGTTTGCGTTCTCACACGACTGCTGAGCAAAGGGTGGCTGTGGGCAGGTTGTAGCAGAGCATTTCACTCTCAGTACATAAGCTCCATTTAAAGAATAAATCAGGGTTTTTCCTTAAACTTACACTTGAATTCTGAAAATTCTCTGAGCAGGCTTGTGTATTGATTCTCACTCCGTGGTGTCATGTGCTACCTGTTTCCATTGCAGTGTGTGCAGATCTGTGCATATTTTGGTAAATTGTTAGCTACTGCCTGACATCAGGTTAGGCAGTCCAGTCTTTCTGCATGGATTAAGTTATTACAAGAGAAGATCGGCCTCTAGTTGTTTATCATGTGGAACACATCTGTCTTGTAAACTTTTTTAAAACCAGAAAAAAACTTTATTAAACAAATTATGCCAGCTGAGTGCCTGTTGGTGTTTGTGTATTGCACTCCCTGAGTGGGTGTAACAAAGTGGGGGACACAGAGATAAACTTGTAGGCCAAGAAACACATACTGCTTCAACTTCCCCACTCTTCTGTTGTAAATCAGGCTGCTGATCTGAAATCTATGCTGTTTTTAACACATCTAAGTAATTTATTTTGTGGTGGCTACCAGAATGTCACACAGCTGCTCCACCTACTGCACCCAGGGCTGCTGACAGACACTTCTGTCACATCCTGGGGAGCATTTGGAAGCTGCCAGCAAACAGCAAGAGCTGAGAAGAAGCTGCAGAATTACCAAGGAAGCTTCAGGGGAAATGAAAGACTGCAGGTTGTTACACTTTGACTTCTTTCAGAGGTGATGGCACCTTTTGTATTTGCTGTTCCCCAGGTCTGCCTTGCCCTTCCAGTCTGCCCTGGGCACCTGCTGTGACTGCCATCATAGCCAGGATGCAGAGCTCTCTCCCTGATGGTAGGGATAACTCACTGCTGAGAGCTTTTGATCTAAATGCACATCACAGTTACAATGCTGCACGTCATGTAACCACTGTGGTTTTTATTGTTTAACTTGTAGGCTGCTTGTATTGTAAAATACCAGTCAACCCAGGCAGGAGATTTAGAGCTGCGCCCTGACATGGTTTTTTAAAAGCCATGAAGCTCAAGTAAAGATTTGGCCAGCTACACAGCTGGCATTTGAACAGGAATGGTGTGTGGGCAGGATAGGTGGAAGTGTTACACTTAGCCTTGCCTTTAAGAATGACATAATTTCCCATCTGACCATTATCAAATCCAGGGTGCCCCTGACCAGGGAATGATTGGCATCTGACTCCATTGAGTCAGAATGCTGAATAATTGCTTTATTAAGACTGTATTACATTACATTGTACTATATTAAAGAGATACTATACTTGTGGTAGTGTGTTGTTAAGTTTCTTGTGTTATTCCCCCAATTTATGTATTGTTCTCCCCTATTATGTGTAAAATGGTTTCGTTCCCCCTTCTTTCCCGCCACCGTTAGCCTGCCAGCTAAGTTGCTATAGCAACCGCTATTCATAGTTGCCGATATGTAATTGCTCCTCCCCTGGTTTCCCTTATAAGTGAAA